AGAAACACCGATCCATCTGGCAACTAGCATTTAATCACAATGTTCTCTGCTATTTACACTTTGGAGCGAATCAGCGTTTCATGTAACGTGCAACTCCCTGCCAAATCTGCGAAACCTCAAATCCGATGCACAGTCTGAGGCTTCATGATTAAAGTACAACACGAGCCAATCGGTTTGAGACAAAGTGCATCTAATGGAAATGCATATCTATGATGCTGAAATACGCAACCTTTACAAGCACATAAACCAGCAGTTCAGCTCTGGGCATCTGTGCTATCAATGATCACAGAAAAACAACAATCAATAATGTTTACACTGCAGCACTTACAGCTGATTTTCTGGAGGGTTTAAATGTCAAGATGTGAAGCTCATATTGTTGTTAAAGTGGTTATTTTAATTATTTTGTATATAAAATGTGTTATTTGAGCTGTCTAAATTGTGTCATAGCCTATTTATGTACTAGTCAAGTCAAGTCAAGTTTATTTGTACAGCGCTTTTCACGATACAAATCATTGCAAAGCAACTTTACAGCAAATTAAGTTTCTACAATATTTAGTGGTAGCTTATCAGTGGTGACTGTCAGTTAATGTACATATGGCAGAAATGTACGGAAAAATCAATTTAAGACGTAATAAAACAGACGATGAACACTATTAACAGCAATTATTATATGATGCAATCAAACTTATAGCAAAATGTGTTAGTTCTGTATGTTGTTTCAGGGTTGGCATCATCTGAGGTCCTCTGAGGGGTTGGCATCATCTCTTCTCAGGTGAGAAGAGATGAAAAGGTATATTATCATATACTAATGATAATAAATCAGCATGGAATGGAAAGGCAAAATGCCTGTTTAAACAGTTTGAAGTGTGATGCATTTTAATATTTACTGAAAGCGATGCTAACTTTGAAACTTTTAGCGGTTAAAGCACGAAACTCTACAAGTAACTCGCGGAGGAAGACTGTTTTGGGCGTTACGAGTTTCAATGCGGCACGGATTAATCTGATTTTTTTGAATCTCGCGCGGTGCCGCTGTGATTATACACTAAAAAATGCTGCGTTGTTTCAACCCAACTTTGGGTCAAATATGGACTAACCCAACGTTTGGGATAAAAATATAATGTAAAAATTTAACCCAATGGTTGGGTTAGTCCATATTTGACCCAAAGTTGGGTTGAAACAACCCAGCATTTTTTAGAGTGTAATAACAGTTGTACGCTTTATTTAGCGCGAATTTCACTAACGACATCAAAATGAAACGACAGATATTCAAGAAATATGTCTAATGAGAAGGTAAGCTGCTTATATTCCAATGTTGTTTTGGCTTGTGAAATGAATTGTTTTATAATGTTACAAATGTGCTTGGCAGCTGACATAGGCCTATTAGAGATAACGGTTGATTCATATCTGATTAGGTGAAATTGTGGAAACTGTTACCTATGCTATTTATAGTTAAGTTGACCAAAGTGGTAACTGGTTTAGAGATCGGTATTGTTATAAACATTGATTTGTGAACTAGTCGAATGTGATTCTACGCAAACTATGTTGATTCGTGTCTTATTGCGGGAGCTTTCGCGTTCTACTTTTAAACTCTTTTCGGTTCAAGGTTAATTTGTTTTGAATTCAAGCTACTAGCTATGACATCTTCCACTGCTTATAATAGTTATGGGCGCTTTCTAAGCACTGCTTAGTGAAGCTTCGAAACCCTTTTGAATCATTTGTTTTGAACCAGTGATTTGGAGCGCGTATCAAACTGTCGAAGTCAGTTCCAGCGCTTCGAAACAGTGAATAATTTTGCGGTTCATTCATTTGATTCATAAAGATTAGTTTCTCTCATCACTTGTTTATAGCCTACCCTTCTTTCCTTCTTTTACGAGTGTGGCTGAAATGCAAATGAGGAAGTATGCAGTTTCCCGGGAAATCCGTCCCGACAGCTTTATAATGTAAATATTGATTATATATAAATAAATACTAAAAATAGGCGTATTATAGCCTTACAGTTGTGATTTAGTGCAGAAACGCGTTTTAGATTATGGTTTTATGATGTACTTGTGTATTATTTACATTTTCTTAATTTAGAGCAAAAAAATGACATAGTGTAGATTTAAGCTTTGACTTGCTACTATTGTTTTATCAACCACATTGTGCTCTTGACAAAAGAATAAAGAGACATGTATGTATGGCAGTAATTACCCACTTGTGGTTTGGCCATCAGTAATAATATTAATCATCTGCAGATAAACAAACAGCGGTCATTCTGTACGTATCACTCCGCCAGACTCATGTTTAGTTCTCAACACTGAACCGAGGCCTTCAGCAGCGCTTAGACCGAATCATGTCTCATATTAAAAAAACACTCATGTTGCTCAATAGACATGCCACGGACAGTGTCTTTTCCCAACTATTTCCTGATACGATTCCACTCCTGCCACATCAGACTGAAAAGCTGATCCATGTAAACATTTCTGAGAGTCTCACCGACCGCAGTCCTTTTCTTGGTCTTTCCCTGTCTCCAGCGAGATTATTTAGAGGAGAAGAACTCAAGCCACACAGTTGTTTTGTGCCAGTAAACATGGCATATTATATAGGCCGACTGTGCATGCAATGCATTGTTGTTACATTATTAAAACAGTCCTGCATCCTCAAGTCTTGCGGTCTCTAGATTGTGAGAGCAGCGGATAAAATTATCGGTGTCTCTCTGCCACAGCTACAGGAGAGCACTGTGTGCAGAGAGCTGGTGGCATCCTGAAGGACTGCACACATCCATTTTATGAACTGTTTACACTGATGCAGTCAGGAAAAAGATGCCGCAGCATAGAACAACTCGGCTGTTGAATAACTTTCTTCCAACAGCAATCAGGCTGCTAAATCAGAGTTTGTGATTTTATTGTAGTTCATTATTTTTAACACATGCAGAGTATTTTAAATAATTTTACTAGAATATTTATATTTTATTATTTTAAATAATTTTACTGAAATATTTTTTGTCTTCTAATGCACTGAACTGTAAGCTGTGGACTGTCACGAATCCGGTCTGTGGCCTTCCGGCCGATTGCCACTAGAGGTCACTCTACCTTTACATTGACTCTCACACTACACAGACCGTTACATGTCACTCCGGACTACAGTTCCCATCATCCATTGCACTTACACAGCTGAATTCACTGATCACACAGCCGTCACTAATCACACACTCACCTGAGAGCCATTACACACTCTATTTAACACTCTCTCAGTTCCTGTTCAGATCGCCGTGTATTGTTCTGCGTTTATCACTCATCTAGCGATAGCTGCCTTACCGAGCCTAGTGTCTTGTTTTCCTTGTTTTCTTCGTCTTGCCTTGTCTGTTTCCCCGTGTTCTGATCACTGCCTGTGTACCTGGATTATCCCTCGAGTCTTGCCCAGTTGGATACTGTTCGCCCCTGCCTGGACCTTTGCCTTGTATCTCGATTATGTTTGCCATTGTCTGACCTATGCCTGTTTTTGACCACGTCTCTGTTAATAAAGCCTTGCAGATGGATCCGCACGCTTCCTGTGTTCCGTCCATTACATGGACGTGTGAAACAATTTCGTTTCTATGTGACATAGAAATGACAATAAAGTATAAAGTATCTTTCTATATGGCTTGGCTCTGTTTATGTTTTTGAAAGAAGTCTCTCCTGCTCACCAAGGCTGCATATATTGGACCAAAAAGTACATTTAAAAATGGTGAAATAATATTACAATTCAGATAACTGATTTCTATTTAAATATATTTAAAAATGTAATTTATTCCTGTGATGGAAAGCTGAATTTAAAAAAAACTAAAGGAGGAATGAAGGAAGAATGCAGTTTCCCGCCAAATCCGTCTCGACAGCTCTAAAATATAAATAATCATTATAGGCTTACCGTGGCATTTTAGGGTAAGGCAAAAACACAGTTTGGATATGGTTTTATAATGTATTTGCTCATTAGTTAAATTTTGAACAGCATTTATTTGAAATAGAAATAATTTGCAACATTATAAATGTCTGTAATGTCACTTTTGATCAAATTAATGCGTCCTCGCTAAATGCCGTCTTTATCAGCAGCGCGAGTTTGACTGAAAGCGTCATTAAAACAGAGTTATTCGTGTTCCTCAGTGACCAATAAAACACATCCACAACATTAAAGCCAGTCAATCTGAAATCAACTCATTCAGCTGGATTGAGGAGGTTTATTAGTCACTGTGAACCAGAAATAAGTATTGAGTCATTAGCTGGTTGTAATAGCAACTACATTAGTCTGCGATCTTATTCTCATCTCCAGCTCATTCACGAGTTACCCACTGCAATCTGAGACCTCACATAAACATATCACTTTACAATAAATGCATATGAAATGCCATTTTTTCCAAATAGAAGCATAAAAATATAGTAGCCTACCACTGATACATGGTATCGATTTACGTACATGTAGAACTACAAAATAAATCTAAATCAATTAAAATATTTATTTAATTCAACAAATGCATGGAGAAAATAGTTAATATTATCATATTAATGCACTGTAAAAGAAACAATATCACGGTTATTAATATTATTGAATGATTTCCAGCTTTGTTTAGCAGTCAGAAAAATGTACCTAAAACACTCTAGAGGGAAACTTAGAATTATTTGAACCAAAACCTTTTATTTGACATCTTTACTCCCAGTACATCAACATCTAATAATGAATGAAATAATGTTCACTACACAGTTTAAGCATTTATAAGTCAAACAATCTATATTTCATAACTACAATTACAGTAACTCTAAAGTCACAGATACAAAAAAATATGAGACTTGTAGCTTCCAGTTACAATGCTCATGTACATGTTAAATTAACTTTGTTTAAAATGTCTTAAAAGCAAACAATCCCACTTATGATCACATTATAAATTATATTCCCATCACCAGATAGAATATTATTAAACACGCATGACTACTAGTATTCTGGCAGTCTGCTGTTAACTTATCAACTGTCTAAGAAACTAAGAGGTGGTTTTCTGTCTTAATTAGGCTACTTATAAACATTTTCCAGACCATTCATGTTGGGTGGAACCATTGTTGTGGTGGAGCCGGAGCTTCTTGGATCATCAGAGAAATGACCAGCAAGGTCCTTGTGAATGTGGTAGTAATACAGGAAGAGGAAAAACCCTGAAAAAAGGATCAGAAAAAATATTTCAACTGCTTTTATAACCCATTATAATCAAGTATTTTTAAAAGAATTAAAAATATATATATTAAATTAACAATAATAAAATATTTAATTCAGATATTTAATTCAAATAATTTGCTGAAGTCTGTAGGAAACCTATAAGTGTTCTACTAAACCACATGTATTGATGCATGTGATTGTTTCTCACCCTGTAATGAGTTCAGCACAGTGAATATGTAATATGAGGGAATGCGCATCGGTCCATAACTGAAGAACGCCACAGACCACGTCAGACCGAAGAGCAGGAACAAACTCAACACCATCATCAGCTGCTTTCTGAATGTCTTTCTCTTGCCGTCAGTTGCTCTTAGGCATCTGGCCTGGACAATCCTAGTTAAGATAGTGATGAAGATTCCTGTCGTGAAGATGAAAACTAAAGCGTAGTAGCCGATGTTCACTGCGTAGTGAATGAAGGGATTTGTAATCCAGCACCTGTAATTAGAAAAGAATGAAATTTAATTAAGAAGAAAATCAGAAGACATGCGTAAATATACATGTACATTTAAATTTTACAAAACTTACATTAGTGAAATTTTTCCAGACGTTTTTAGGATCAGTGTTTTATATTCTCCTACAGAAGCAATAGCTATGACTATTGGAGCGGGAAACGCTGAAAACACACAGAGACAAGGGTTATTATAGTTAAAATTAAACATAAAAAAAATTATGAATAAATTAATAAGTAATTTTTGTTACTACTTTAAGGGTGCCTTCACACTTGTAGTTCGGTTCTCTTGGTTTGTTTGGTACGGACCAAAAAAGAAAATTATACATTTGGTCCTGGTCCGCTTAGCGTTCACACTGGCATTTTTGACAGGCATAGTGATACATTCACAACCTTATTGGTCGGGTTGAATAACGTATATTTCGTGACAGAACTCACCGAACACCCCAAACAAAAGCTGTGTTCGACTTAAAGTGGTGCGCAGACCGATCGGTGTATAGCATCAAAGTTCCCATTTACCGATCGGTCTGCGCAGCGCTGCTTTAAGTCGAACACACCTAATGCCGTCTGCTGGACTGCGCGCTCATTGTTGCGTGTATTTATGATTTATTTTCACCACCTGCAAACTCACAGAGAGCTCATAAAAGGCACTTTACCTCCTCGTTGCTCCACGTTTGCCCTCGGCTCATTTTGTTTTAGATGCACCTCTCGTTCCGCGTCGTCAAATCATGTCGCATAGCATCGCATCTTGTCATTACTTCCTGTTTTTGGGTCGTTTAGAAGTATTTGGTCCGTGTTGCGTTCATATTTCATTCGAACCGCACCAGAGTTTGTTTGAAAGTGCGCACCAAACAAGAGGACCGAGACCGCTAAAAAAGATGGGTCTCGGTCCGCTTGTTTGGTGCGCACCAGGGTTCGGATAACAGTGTTCACACTTATTCAAACGAACCGCACTAACAGAGCAATCGCACCAGAGCTCGTTTTATCAAACCAAACATGACAAGTGTGAACACACCCTAACTTGATATGCTAAAATAACTAAAAGATAAAATAAAACTAACATAAAAATTTATAAAATCTATATAGACATTGTCACCATCATGGACTTTTAGTTTCTTCCCTCATGTTTCCTTTGACCTAGTTTCTGTCTCCCTTGATTTAGCTCATTCTGTTCACCTGTATTTGTTAATTATCTTCATTTGGTCTGTGTATTTAATTTGCTCCCTTTCTGTTCTTCCTTGTCCGGTAATGTTGATGTTTGTTTGATGTTGTTGTGAGCTTGTGTTACCCTTCCTCTTGGATTACTATTAAATGGATTATTATTGAATCTTCGTCTTCGTCGTGCGCTCTTTCTCTTCTACCCAGCAACAAGCGTTACAGAATACCGGACCACAAAAAGAAAAGTTGAGCGGCGTTTGTATCCCCATTTATTTTCCGTTTTTGCAAGTATTTCTTTTGGTTTTCTTATGGATCGCCCCGAATTCCTCCTCCTCCTCCTGCTGGAGCAGGGGAAGCTCGCCCTCGAGGACCAAACCAGACTTTTCCTGGAAATCTCCCACCCAGCCTCCCTCTCCCACCACCTCTTCATCAGTCCTCACCACCACCTCCGCTGTCCCCTGTCAGCCCCTCAGCTAACCCTCAGCCTACCATCTGTGATGTGGGTTTGCCGTGGGTCTGCCAGTCTCCATCGGCGTCGTGGCTGGAGGATCCCTTGTCTCTGCCTCCAACCTCCGAGTCTCAGACTCTGCCTCGGCCCGTTGACCCAGCGGCTCCACCATGGCTCCTAGCTCCCTCCTCTCTGCTGTGGTCCGTCAGTCCACCAGCTCTGCCGGGCTCCCTCGTCCCTCCGGCTCCGCCTTGGTCAGTCGCCAACCCGCCATCGCCTCAGGACTCCACTCCTCCGGCTGTGCCTCGTCGATCCGTCCCACCGGCTCCGTTGGGCTCCTCCCTCCATCCAGCTCCACCTTGGTCCTCTGTCGCTTCGGCTCCATCGCGGCCTTCTGGATCCCCACCTACGCCTCGGTCGCCTGAGTCATCTGCTCCTCCTTGGCCCATCCTCCCCGTCGCCCTGGCTCTATGGCTCTCCGTTTCTGCCCCAGGCTCCTCTCCTACCTGCTTCGCCGCTGTTGGTCGCCCCCCTGGAGTCATCAGCCCTTCCTCCACCAAGGTTCCTCTTGGCTGCGGTCTGGGTCCCACCTGGCTCCTCCTCCTGCTCCAAGTCTCTCCTGTCTCTATCCTCCCTCCATCTGATCCGCCATGGTCCTTCCTGATTCCTCCTTGGTTCCTCCCTCCATCAGATCCTCCCTGGTCTCTTCTGTTTTCTCCCTGGCTTCTTCATCGTCGCCGCCCTGGTTATCTGCCTGCCTCTCTTCATGTCCTTTGCCACTGCCTCTTCCTCCTCCCAAACCCCCTCCCTCCCTCCTTTGTTTGTCCTGCTACGGCGCGAGGTCGCCCCTTCCGGGAGGGGGGAGTTCGTTCACCATCATGGACTTTTAGTTTGTTTTCTTCCCTCATGTTTCCTTTGACCTAGTTTATGTCTTCCTTGATTTAGCTCATTCTGTTCACCTGTGTTTGTTAATTATCTTCGTTTGGTCTGTGTATTTAAGTTGTAAATTTGTGTATTTAAGTTGCTCCCTTTCTGTTCTTCTTTGTCCGGTAATGTTGATGTTTGTTTGATTTTGTTATGAGCTTGTTACCCTTCCTCTTGGATTACTATTAAATGGATTATTATTGAATCTTCGTCTTCATCGTGCGCTCATCCTCCTCTACCCAGCAACAAGCGTTACAGACATATTTACAAAAAAATGACAAAAACTGTATTTAGAAATACTAAAACTTCCTCAAAAAATACCATAAATTTTATATATCATAAAATTACCATGATGACTGTAGTTCATATGACTCGGGTGCAATATATTTTCTTTTTCGGTGGAACTTACAATTGGACTCGATGGTTTGAAACGGGTTTATTTTAATAGATGTTTTGTTGCTCTAACTCACCCCAGCCCAACACGGTGATCTTCCTCATGTAGTTTGTGATGGTGACGTTCTGACTGATCAGCCATAAGTACATATGAAGAGCTTGAATGAAGAACCAGGTGAATGAGGTCAGCATAGAGTAATGCAGGACCAGCGCTATGAAGACGCACGCAGCGTTGTCTCCTGTGTTAGCGACGCTCTCGTTTGACAAAAAAGAGACATTCAGTAGACACAAAGCCACAAACATGTTCATCAAGATCTTCGTGGCCTGATTTGATTTGGCTTTCCTATTAAAACATACAAAAAACTGTTTTAGCCACATAAACTAATATTTAAATAACAGCACTAACTATATGTTATACTGTATGATACTCTACCGTAGCAGGAAATGCATGAATAAAGCGATGGCCATAAAAAACATGGAGATGCTGCAGCCAATATAAGAAATGAAGGTCAATGATTCCAGCTCTGTGTTGTTTTCATCTGTCAGAGACTGAGGAATTGGAGAAAAGAGAACAAAACACACGTTTTTACCAAGAATAAGATTTTTAAAAGTTTATTTTGTCATCTGTTATGCATTCACTAGCATGTATCCGTGGACTAAAATACTCTGATATTGATTTAATGGGGTCTTTAAATGAAACCTGAAATATGAAAGTGTAAGTCAGGGGTCTCCAACACGTCGCTTGCGAGCTACCTGATTGGAGGTAGCTCGCCAAGACATACTTGACATGTCAGCCATGAGTTTATTTTTACTATCCCGTTTCGTATTTTAATTAGGGTTGGGTACCGAAACCCGGTACCAATATGGCACCGGTACCTATGTAACCGGTATGTACTAGAACCGAATCCGAACGCAGATTTCGGTGCCTCATTTCGGTGCCATGCCTGAGCGATCGATTGAAATATTTGTCCTCTGGTTCTCCGAAACGGACGTAAGCATCATCATCACTGGCACCGCACATGAAAAATAATATCCCGACTGAGAAAATGCACGTGAAGTCGGAAAGCTCTAATAATACAAATCCAACACATCTTTGTAGTAACGAGAGTGTCCATGTTGTTTTCACATTCCGATTTAAAAGCACAACTCTGGAAACGAGAGCATTTGAGGAGCGTGTGAATGCAGTAATTACACTTGCTCTGACTGCAGCAGGTAGCCTTCCGTTAACTAAGCTAAACATGCTTAAAATTAAAATGCCTAAAGCTAAACCTCCCTTTTATTCACATTTCTAAACCGGTTGACCAACAAAAGATAAAATTATAACCTTTTTACTCCACAACACCAGTTAAATGCTTCCTTTTGTGATCTGATGAGGATTCTTGTCATAGAATGAGGCAGAAAATATGTTCTATATGCTACTTTAAAAATAATATATCGATTAGCAATAAATTAGGGTGACCATACACCCTCTTTTCCCCGGACATGTCCTCTTTTTGGACCTACAAAAATGCGTCCTGCCGGGATTTCTTAATTGCCCAAAATGTCCAGGATTAGGCTGTTTTCTTAATCCTGCTCCCGCTGAATCTCTGATTGAAAAACTCATGGTAAATACTGCTCAGCGTTAAGCAAAGTTACTAAGAGTCTAACGCAGCCGCAACACGCAGAGTAGGTTTCTTTTTGTGTGAAAACATGACTGAAGGCAGACTGCTGAGGGAAATTATATGAAAGAATGTATGACTGAATGAATTGTATGAATGCATAAGGGGGAACTGACTGTCTTCAGACAAGTTTAGATGGCAAGCAGTGTTTATAAGCACAGCACTGCTTTGTTTACAGAGGTTACCATATAAACATCTCTATTTCTGCTGTTCTATAAGTGCTACCTAATGTCAGACAATGGATTTACATTTTCATTCAGCCTGTAAGGAGGTAACAAATCACTAAACTCACGATGCAATATGATTTACGGTACTGATTTCACGATATGATTTTTCTCACGATTTAAAAAAAAAATTAGATTCAAGAAAAATTGTAAATGAAAAGGTGTCCTCTACAGGGGTCATATGACATTGCTAAAAAATAACATTATTTTTAACCACTGATTTCTAGTTGTGTCCTCTTATGGAAGGCCAAACAAAGTAGTTTCGCTTTCGCAACGAAACACAGCGTCTCCATGACATGGCGGCGGCGGCAACAATACTACAGCAAGAATAAAAGGTACGCCTTCTTTCTTTGCTTCAACATTTGGGCGGTGTTATGTAAATCTTCCCACACAGTGACGTAGACATGTGGGGCGTATTTAAACGAGGCGTTTTAGGAGGGCGTGGACGAGTCTTAACTTTTAAATAGAATATTTCTTTGGGTTTGAGACTTGTCTTTGCAACTTTAGGGATCTTATCTATTCACGAACAACTTGAAAACTTGAAATCGCATCATATGACCCCTTGAATTATTTCTCAGACAAAATGCTGCACATTTCTTTGTGAAATGTAAATATTTCAAATAACAAAACTAACTGAAATTTTAAAACAAATCCCAAATCAAATAAATAAATACAAATAAAGAAAACCTCTTCATATAAACAAACTAAGGCTTTGTCTGAGCTTGTTCCATTTAAATTTAGAGGCAACCACTGCATTTTAATAGGGGTGTGAAGCTACACTGGTCTCACGGTTCGGTTCGATTACGATTATCATGCCATCGATTCGGTTCAATTCGATATCACGATGCATCGACGATGCACTGCATCCTCAATTTTTATTTTACTTCACATGTATACAATTTTGTCAATAAATACAAGCAATCAGATATATGAACTGTACCTGACGTGGTTTCTCAAGTTAGTGTTATTACCCCCTGCATATTGTATTTTGCGTGACATGATTTATACACAGCGTGTGTCTTCTCCAGGTCGTGCTTACCAGCATAAAAGCCGAAATGTGCCCAGATGTCAGCTTTTAAAATAGTTGGAGCGTTTTAAATTACCCACACTCACGTCTCGCCTCCCTCCGCCATTAGGTGCGTTCGATTTGAAGCGGCGCTGCGCAGGATGAGTGTATGACATCAACCGCGAGAGCGATTTGAAAGCATAAGGATCTGTCTGCTCTCTTATCGCTCTTGCGGTACTTGATGTCATACACTGATCATTCTGCGCAGCGGCGCTTCAAGCCGAACGCGCCTAATGTATGCTACCGCGACAAATGACGTCAGAAAAGCGTCAGTACGTTATAATCGGTTATGGTCTATTACTGAACCGATACCGAATCGTCCTCATCTGCATCGCGATGCATCGTAGAAACGATTAATTTCGACACCCCTACATTTGAATCATAATCCAAACAAAGATGCTGCATACATTCAGCATGAGCAGTTTTTGATTTAAGTTAGATTTCTAAATATGAAGCAAAAACATAATGGTCTGACATTCTGAAAGCTTTGTGAAACTATACTATGTAAACATACTATGTGCTAAGCGAAACAAAAACAGCAGATGGGCTAAATAAAAATGCAGATTCACTCTCCGACAGCAGGTGGCGCTTATGGAGCAGCAGCGATACAGCACTTCCTTGGTTACCACTGTAAACAAAGCAGCTCCTGAAGGCATGCCGTGGGTGGAGCTAAAGAGATCATTTGCGTAATGACCGTCTGTACAGTAAGCTGTGACATCGACATAAATAAAACAGGAACAAAAACTTTATTGACTTAAATTAACTATGGCTAAAATTCAGATCTAGCCATATATATTCGATCCAGAATTGGATCCCGACGACTTCCGTAACCCAAATAAAGCACGTTGATGGGAGTGCTCTTGCTCTCGCTCAGGGGTGCATTTCCCAAAAGCATTGTTAACCAACTATGGTCGCAAGTTCTGTCATTGTCAACATAGTTCAACGATTCAGTATTTCCCGAAACCATAGTTCAAACGAACATTTGCAAACAGCGTCGCAAACTTACGTGGTAGGAACTAGAGCTCTCGACCTGTGGTTAGAAGCATCGTTTCTTGTTAGCAAGACATATGGACTTAAATAAATTATGCTTTTGGGCACAATAAGCAAGCTAACATGCAGTACAATCTATATCTTCCATTCTATTTAAATATATATACATTTTAATCTATATATTTTAGCGCATTCTCAATAAGCGCAATTTTTGAAGAGTGTGCCTGTGCATAAATGCCTAAGGGAACCCCGGAGTATGACATAAGAGGGAACCCGTTATGAAACAAACATCAAACAAAGCAAAATGACAGGGAACAAAACATAGTAAATTAGTCATCAGGTGCCATGTTGAACACAGCAGCATCTCAGAAATCTCAAATCAGTTAATTAGCAGAAGTTATTACTCCACCACATGCATGTGACATCATTAACAACGGCCCTAAATTGTTGAACTAATGTGGTTCATGCGACGGAGATGCGACCATGTTCGGGAAACAGTTGTAACTGACTAGTTAGTTTCCACAACAATGCATGTACTATGGTGGTTAATCAGCGAGTTACGTCGTTGTATGGGAAACGCACCCCTGGCTGATGTGCGCATACAAGGAATCCCGCCCTTCATGACATCATACAGGGCCAAAAAAAAACTTTTCGAAACTTAGGCCTATTTCATTATTTGTCCATGATAAAACTTGTAAGCATATAACTAGTTTATTGTTTAACTTTTTATGGAAAAACAAACATCAGCATTTGAAGAAACAGGTTCTATGTCGAAAGAAAGCTGATGGAGGCTTAGAAAAGGATACTTTAAAAGTGAATTGGGTAAAGAATTGTGTCAATTCACCAGATTCTATTTGCCCAACAAACACAGAACGTTCCCATTTGGTTATTTTTTTGGGAACCAAATAAGAACGTTCTAGGAACGTTCCCTGCAGGTTACTTTTAGGTTGAATTTTATAATCTAAAGATAACCTTCCCAGAACATTCCCTGCAGGTTATTTTTAGGTTTTATTTTTATAAGCTAAAGGTAACATTCCCAGAACGTTCCCTGCAGGTTATTTTTAGGTTGAATTTTATAACCTAAAGAGAACATTCCCAGAACGTTCCCTGCAGGTTATTTTTAGGTTTTATTTTTATAACCTAAAGGGAACATTCCCTGTAGGTTATTTCTTATTTTATTTTTATAACCTAAAGGGAACGTTCTCAGAACGTTCTCTGCAGGTTATTTTTAGGTTGAATTTTATAACCTAGAGAAAACGTTCCCAGAACGTTCCCTGCAGGTTATTTTTAGTTATCATAACCATGTAAACTAATTAAAACTTTGCAGATGATCTGATTTCTGATTATTCTAATGCCAAAATGTGTATTTTTTAAATCATAAACAAACTATTTTTGCAGAATTACATCTAAGTAGTCAAATCGCATTATAATGATAATATAATTCCAACTTTATAGCTGAAATTAAGCCAAGGTTAAGCGTAGTCTGAAAAGCATATCATCAACACTGGGTTTGTTTGTATCTTTCTTTACTGCGCGCCTCTGATCTGCACGAGCTTTTCTCCTGTCTTCCACATAAAGCACACGCATAATTAAACAATTAACGGTCATTTC